AGTCCAGAGCTGAGCTGGAGTCTTGAGCTGGAGTCTTGAGCTGGAGTCCAGAGCTGGAGTCCAGAGCTGGAGTCCAGTGCTGAACTAGAGTCCAGAGCTGAACTGGAGTCCAGAGCTGCAGTCCGGAGCTGGAGTCCAGAGCTGGAGTCCAAAGCTGGAGTCCAGAGCTGGAGTCTAGAGCTGGAGTCCAGTGCTGGAGTCCAGAGAGCTGAGCTGGAGTCCAGCGAGCTGAGCTGGAGTCCAGAGAGCTGAGCTGGAGTCCAGATCTGCTGTCCGGTGCTGGAGTCTATTGCTGGAGAGTCGACTGGCTGTACAGGAGGAAGCAGAAGTCACTCGCCACTTTGAAGGGAGCGCAGCGCCGGTACGGCTGCCGGAAGTCACCTCCATTGTGTCGGAGACGGCGGCTTCGGGCGAGGGCGAGGGGCGTCATGTCCAAATCGGCGGAGCGGGGGCGGACGAGTCGTGGGGGTATTCGGCGGGGCGTGGTCATATGGCTGGGGCAGGGCTGAGCTGGGCGATTCCCGGTCACCCGTAGGGCGGCTCGCGCGCGGGTTGCCGTTGCCGCGGGGTCGGGGCGATTGCGCACGACGTACGACTCTCCCTTTTCCCCGCTGCTCTCCCAAAGTTCCCCACCGCCCGAACGGATGGCTTGACATTCTCTCGAGTACGGGGCTGCTATAGGTGTGATACAGACGAGTGCGTGTCAGTGTGTGTGTGTGTGTGTGTGTGTGTTGGGGAAGGGGGGGGGGGCATCACCGGAAGGAAGCGAGGAGGGGGTCGGAGGAGGGAAGTCTTGAGGCGTCGCGTATCTGATACCGACATCGGCGGGTGCATCCTGTGCTCGCCCTGTGAGCCGGAGCTCGCGCCCTGTCCGTCACGGCTTCATGCGGCGCTCGCCTTCCCAAAAATCATCGAAAAGCACATTGCATTGTCGGCTCGGCGTCCCCACCACGTTTACTTTGCATCGCCGTCATCAGGTTTTTTGCGTGGTCGCCCCACGCTTCCGCCCTACACCGCGTTCTCTGCGCCGCGGCTGCGCTCGGGCCGCGCTGCGCTGCGCCGGCCGGTGTCGCCTTGCCCACCGCCTCTCCACACCGACCCGAACTGCACCGTCGCTCTGCGCTGCCGGACGTGCGTGGGCACGCCACGAAAATAAAGCAAAGGTTTCCCGCTGCCGCTGCTGCTGCCACGCCGCGCGCCCGGGCGCGCCCCGGACGACAGCGCCCAAATTAAAAACGCGAACTTGTGCAGTTCTGCGGCAGAGGCTGTTCGTGTTTCGTCGGCAGAGGGCAGCGCGAGGACGCCGCCACCGTTGCTGCTGCTGCAGCCGCGCGTAATAGAACGCTGAGGAACGCCGCCGAAACTGGAGAGGCGTGGCAACGCATCGGGTCGTGGCGCGGTGCGCGGTGCCGCGCCGCGGGCAGCTTGCAGTTGCAGTCGTCGTGCACCGCTTGTAGGGCCACGATGCCCTAGTGGTTTTGCTTTTGAGGTGTGTTACTGTGGCACAGTACGAATGCTGTGCCCTGGACTGGAGCTGGGTATAGTGTTTTCATCAAGGTGTCCTCAGGCGATCGTGATGGTTCCACCTGCGACGGTCGCGGCGGTATACCCTCTCGCATCACTACTTTGGCCGGCTGTTTTCTTCCCGCTGTGTAGGTAGTACTCCTGCTCGCTGGCAGCTCTGGCGGCGCAGCCCTGCGCAGCCCCCACAGCGCAGCCCAGGCGCAGCCCGCCGTACAGCGATTCTATCGCGCCTCCCGCCCCGCCCGGACCTAACCGGCCCCCGGCCCCGCGCCGGCCCGCCGCGGCTCGGCTCGGCCACGCGCACCACCACACCGCTGGCCCCGGCCCGGCTCGCTCGGAGCGTCCCCGTCCGCTCGAATATCGTCTCTCGTCGAAGCGGAGGAGGCCGGACCGGGCCGGGCGGTCGGTGGGGGCCGCGGCGGCGGCCGGGGCGTTAACAAATTAGATAATCCATTGAGATCGCCGCGCGGTGCCGGCCCGTCCCCCGGGTCATTGCTCACTTCCCTCTCAGGACCCCCCGTGGTCCGGCCGCCGGCCCGACGGCGGCGGACCCAGAGATGAGCGACTCGCACCAACACCTCGCGCGGGGCGACCAGCTCGCGCCGGGGGAGAGACAGTCCAATGAGGGAAGGCCGTGGGGAGCCCCATGTGAGGCTCCCATACGGCACCCGGGGGCCCCTCGACCCCCATCACGGGGGGACCCCCCCGGGCTGCTCATTACCTCCCCACTGGGCCCCCTCCGGGCCCCCCTCCGGGACCCCCTCCGGGCCGCGGGGAGCAGGGTGGGGCCAGGAGCGGGCGCGTTCCCGGAACGATGAGTGCGCCTCCTCGCTCCGCCCCGCGCCGTGGCGCCCCCCGCGTCGCCTGATACGATTATCGGCACCATAACGCGCGCGGTCGGGGGCGGCAGCGGCCGCTGGCCCCGGAGGTGCGAAGTGTGAGGGTGTGAGGAGGAGGCGGGGCGCGGCTGGAGGTGCGAAGTGTGCGGCGGGCAGGTGTTGCGGAGGTGGTGTGAAGTGTGCAAGCGTGAGGCGCGCTGCGGTGGAGCTGCTGGAAGTGGGAGGAAGGTGTGAGAGAGGAGGGCCGACTGGTCCAGCGAGCAGCGGCGGCGGCGGCGTCCACCAGCATGGCGGGCTGGAGGGGGCGCAGGGACAGGGCAGTACAGCAGGGAGGTGTTATGGTGTCGGGTGACAGCTGGACGGACAAGCCGTGCGAGCCACACGGTCAGGAGGAGCCGGCAGCCGCAGCAGCAGCAGCAGCAGCAGCAGCAGCAGCAACAGACTGAAGGTGTGGTCTGACGGCTGCGAGGGGCGGGGCGGGGCGGGGCGTAAGGCGCGCGGGCTGCGCGTCGACAATGGTGAGCGTGAGCCGGGCCGGCTTGCACCTCCCCGCCGGCCAGCCAATCACGGCCCGAGTGGACGGCGTGCGGTTTCCTTTTTCGCACCAATGGATTCAGCTTTGGCATTCCTGTGCCGAGGTGATTTTCCAAATGGAGAAGCCCTGCGTGAAAAAGGGCTGCTGCTGCTGCGGTGGCGGAGCGATGCGATCCCCGCCCGTCCAGCCGCCGCCCGTATCCCGTCCCGCCCGTCCGTTCGTCCTGCTCGGCCGGCCGTGCAGCCGAGTCATTCTCCCTGTAAATTGGGTGGAGGTGGCAGCAGCGGCTTTGGCTCGACGTGCGAACTGAAGCGAGGTGAGATCTCCTTGATCCATCTGCTGGGGGCCGCCGCCCCGCCCCGCCCCGCCCCGCCCCGCCCGCTCTCCTTAGAGGGGCAGAGGCACGGACAGGCGGAATGTGTGGTCGTTTAGCAGGTCGGCGTGTAACGCGATGCCCGGCGATGCCCACATGCGATGCGCCGCGGCGATGACGCCAAAGCCGTCGTGCTGGTCGATGTCCCCGGCGATGTCCTGGCGACTGGCGACGACACCTGGGCGATGAGCGATCGCGCGCATGTTGCTCGCGGGCGGGGCGGGGCGGGGAGGGAGGAGTGTGCGGGCGAGCAGCGGCGCGGTGGAGGCCTAGGTGATTGTACACCCGCGGCACGACGTCGTCGGCGCCCCGGCCGGCCTCGCCTCACAAGCGCGCAGCCAGTGTGGCACGCACGCACACACACGCGCGCACTCGCACGCGCGCGGGCGTGTTTCTGTCCCCCATTGCTCATGTCGCGGGCGTGCTGGCCGTTTGCGTGAGCCGGACAAGGACGGGCGGCAGAAGCGAGACGCGCGAGGACGCGGGACGACACACACGCGGCTCGTTGTTTTTGAAAGAAACACTTGTCCCGGCGGCGCGGCGGGCATGCCAGGGCGGCACATTGTCATTCCAGGGGACCAGCCAGCCCGGGAGGGAGCGGGCGGGAGCGGCGGGGAGCGGGCTGTGGGGCGTATCACTCATCACGTCGGGACTTACGTCGTCACCCCGCCCTGGCGGCGGTCTGCTTCTCCTTGCTGGCCTCATGAAAATAAAATCCCCTGCCCCCTTCCCATGCCGCCGCCGCCGCTGCGTTCCGCGGCCCCCTTGGGTTTTCTCAACATACGAAAACGATCATAAATCTCGGTAAACGGCAAAGGATGCCGATTCGATGTCCATCGGCATGCAGGGCCTGCTGGAAGTGCGGCGCTCGCGTTGCCGACTCTTGTCGTGTCCTGGCGGTGGCTGTTCGGCTGTTCATACCCCGTGTTGCGGTGCCCCGTCGCGTGGCGTAGCTCCCATTCGCTCTGCGCATCCTCACCCCCACCCCCCACCCCGTCGACCGTCGACTTACACCCCTTTCTCTCTGTTGCAGTGGTTGGGCTGCCGCACGGCGTGCGACTTCTACTTCCCGCACGGCCTCCGGACGGACTCGGACGCGGGGGAGGACGGGCGATGGAGCCTGCGCCCCACCAAGGAGGCCTCCCGGTCGACTCCGATCCGCGCGCTGCCGCCACCCCGCTTCGACGCCGACGGGCTGACGCTGAGGTGGAGGCAGCCCCCGCAGACGGGCGGCGCCGTCAACGCATCATCGACTGTGGCGATGGCGACGGGCCCGAGCACCACGACCTCCACGATGACGCCCGTGTCGGCAGGCGAGGACGGCGCAGCTCTGGACGCCACCGTCGAAGCGGGGCAGTCGGCTGAGGACGCTTCGAAGGAGATGGAGACGGAGGACGAGGAGGTGGACTCCAGGGCCGAGCAGCCGTCGCCATCGCCGGCATCGCAGGCACGTCCGCCGCACAAGCACGTCGTGTTCATCGTGAGTGCCAGGATGGCGCCGTCCTTGGCGTGGAAGGAGCTCAAACAGGTAAGGGAGATGCCAATCTCGGCCGCGACCCGACAAAAATAGAAGGCGTCGACTCGCCTCGACGAAAGCGACGCAGAGACTCATATCTGTCCTTTTCGTCCCCACAGACTGTGGACAACTGGCTGGAGCTGAGCGAGTCCCCGAGGGCGGCTATGCGCGCCGTCTCCGTGCTGGCCGTGTCCGCCGACGGGCCGGTGGCGCGGGCCTCCACCTGCGTCAGCCCCCCGGCCTCGGCCCAGCACCACCAGGACGCCAGCCAGGAGGAGACCGACTACTACGACGAGGACAACTCCAGTGACGAGGACGACGAGTCCGAGGACGATGCCGGTGAGTCTGTTTCAAAGACAAAGGTTGAGTTTCAACTTGCTGAAGACACAATAATACAAACAATCTCGTTTTTGTTGGTTCAGGATCCACCGCGGATGCGACCCCAGACAACTCGCTGCGTCGCTTCTCGTTCGACCAACTCCGAGGAACCGTGCAGCATGGCGTCCTGCTGCGCGCGCTGCTCAAGGACCGCACCACCGCCAAGCACCTCGTCGAGGACGCCGCCCAGGAGGACGAGGCTGACGAGGCCGACGACGAAGGGGACGAGGACGACGAGGACGTGCTTCTGGACCGGAGACGTCTCGACCTCGTGAAGCGCCTGCTCGGCGCAGACCGCGGCCACGGTCGCGGCCGTGGCGGTGCCAGGGGTCGCGGTGGCAAGGTTCCCGCCGGCTGGGGCTTGCACCTGGTGGGCGTGTGGGCGGCGGGCGGCGGCGCGCGCCTGCCGAGGGCCAGGGTGTCGTGGACGGCGCCGCGGGGCGTGGCCGAGACCCTCGTCAACTGGGCCGTGCCGGCGCTGCGCATCTCGGGGTCCCGGGTCGTGAGCGGCGTGTCCCAGGCCGAGGTGCCGCTCGTGGAGCAGCACGCCACCAGGGTGACGGTCGGGGACGCCCACTCCAACGACGTGTCGCCCGCCCTCGTCCTGCAGCTCTCTGTCCAGACGGACTCGGCCGCCGGCGCCGAGGCCGGCGTGCTGGACGTGCCCGCGCCCATCTCGGAGGCGCCCGAGCAGCTCGCCGTGGAGGTCGCGCCGAGGACGCCGTCGTACGAGCGGGCCGCGCTGTGGGAGGCGACGCTGGTGGCCGTGGGGCTGGTCGTGGGCGCCGCGGCGCTGTGCGTGGCGCTGCTGCTCGCGGCCTACGGCGTGCACAGCCGCGTGGCGCGCTGCTGCAGGGGCCGCGGCCACGGCATCCACGCCGGCATGTCCGGCATCCACGCCAAGTCGGCCTCCGTGGAGCCTCTCAACGCGCCGGACCAAAACAATGCGTGATTCACGGACTGATGACACTTTGAAAATGTATTGACAAAAGGCGCGCCAGCCTCACACTGATTCCATGTCGACTAGAGCTAGAAGTTTATAATTTACTTTCGGAGGCATGTTATGGTTAATGTTTACGAGGGATTGCAAAAGTCAAAAGTTACAGACGATTGATGTTCGGTGTCTTCCCAAAAAGTATGTGCCATGATGTAATTTTTCCTATATCGATTTTGTACATATATGTTGCGAATGCAGTTTGAGGTGCATATATGTCGTTAATTAAGTTGTAATATACCTGCTGTAAGTACAATTTACATTCTTCTCATGACAGTATTATGAGTTATTTTCCCTGCAATGCCTTGTATAGTGTAATCTAAGGAGTTACCAAAGACATTATTGTTGTATTATTTTTATTTCAACTTGTACAGAAAATGTATATATTTATGTATGTTAAAAGACTGAATAGCTATATTTTTGAGACTCCACTGCTTGGCTCGTAGATTTTGTAGTGTAAATATCAAACGTCGCCTTCATAGTTAGCCCTGTTGGTGGTTATAACTTGAGTGTAAAATATTAAATTTCAAACTGGATTTGAAGTTTTTCCTGACGGACAACATGAAATTGAATTGGTTTTGTTGAGTGTCTTGCATATATGTTTTAAAACAAATTAACTAAACTGTATGGCTGTTCCTGTGTTTTGAAGTTAGTTATTACTATGTTAATAAATACTATTTGTTCCAAAATAAGATTTAAGATCATCTCATTTAAGTC